TGCAAACATAAGCAGATTTGGAATGTTATTTGTGGGGAAAAAGTCAGTGAAGAATATATCAATCTGCTGACGATGCCTCTCAGCTCAGACCCAAATATTCTCACGTGGCAAAGTTACATCTACTTAAACATCAAAGAATAGAAAACTATTTCCAATATAAAAACTATGTATTGCCAAATAATCAAACAAAGGTAGACGGTTATGATATCATGTAAGGAAATGAAAATAATGGGGTTGTCAAGAAGGGGGCTGCATAGTGGTGCAGTTAACGTGCAGGATGCTTACTGTACCCAAACCCAAATTAATCACAGAACCACAAACATGAGCTCATGCTGGACTTTAATATCACACAAAGTCTAGTTGCTCGGGAGAGCGTGGAGGGTGGTTATAATCAAGTGCCCATTCCACTAATTTCAAAGAACCAGAAGCAATTTCATCATATCATTTTTTCTTTTTAATTAGTTATCAATTTACAGGGTCCACAGCAATTCTACTTTTGGACGGATGTATGCACATCTGTATTTATGTTATCAAATATGTTATTCACAAAAAAATCAAGGTTTTGGGTGGACATGTGTAAGATTAGATTGACATTAAAGCAGCTGGTAGTCGATTGTGTTGATGTGTGATATCACACCAATAGATATATGCAACCACTGATTATAAAAGCCAGCTAACTTTGGCCTTGTGTCCATTTGCCCTTTGCTTGTGGTAGATTTACATATGTCAGCCAACCAAGCCCCAGGCTGGATACACACCTACAATCTGTCAAACCAAGTGTCAAGTGCAAAATAAAAAAAATGAGAAGGAAACAAATCATTTAATCATTCTTTTTGGTTATCACAATACTGCTATATTTGTATCATCTTTAGATAAAAACTATTGAACTAAAGACCAGCAGAATAAACCTTAGTTTTTGTTGATAATGTTTGCATTACATGTGACAAAGTAACGGCTTGTCTTGAAAAAATATGGCAAGATTCATTTTAAGTCCAAGCTGAACAAGAAGACTGGAAAATGCTGCATTTTAAAACCATTGGAATCTTAATTAGGATTACATGGTATCCTGTTTTAAAATTCAAAGTTTCTTGAAATTTGACTTGAAACAGCATCATTTATCTATATTCACATTTAATTAAATTGATGATGATGAATTATCTCTTCAAGTAGCAAGGCGCATAAAATTATACTTTAACGATGGTCCAAAAAAAAAATCTTATTACTGAAACTGTATGTCAGTCACCAGATTAGCCTTTTGGTTGCGGCTCATGGCGCATCACACACAACCTTATTATCACCCCAATCTCCCGGAAAACGCAGATTTCACATGCACCTCTGCTGCCCACGTCAGCCTCTTTTACCCCGCACAACAGATGGGTCTGCTGCAGTGCCTCCCTCCTTCCTCAAACTCCTCTGTGACTGCCCCCTCTGATAATTAAAACAGATGATAGAATATCAAGAGTGAAACGCATGAGAAAGCAGACAAAAATACCAGAGACCATATGCTTGGTTCATTCTGCCACTCGCTCCCTACATTGCGAAATGGAGCAGCCTAGAAAATGAGCGCTATAATAACTTTGACACAGTCTGGGCACTTCAACTACTAAAAAAGCTGCGACGGCAAAAATTGCACCATCAAGAAAGAGGTTTGAATAGGAGGTTTGTATGAAAAACAGGGAGGAGGAGAAAATCAATCAGAGAAAAACACCTGGCTAAGCTTATAGATCTCTGACTGAAGTAAATATTGAATTCAGGAGCTATGAGCTATGCTTTGGTCTATTTTCCTGTCTTCTCCCTTACGACTGAATGAGGAGACAAAGCCATAGAAGGAACAAAATCTCATAACAAAAGCATTTTTTCCTGCATACCATCCAATAAAATTACGGTATAAATATACATTTTTAAAGCGCGCTCTGCAGAGGTCCCTCTCACGACACCTGAGTCTGCCTGTATCGACCACACAGTACGGTGAGCTTTTGTAGTTGTGCGTCAGAGCACAAAGAGGCAACGGCTGAAGCAGCATCTGTGTCTGGGGTTGAGAAACCTTTGCCACCCCGAGCCTGTTTCCACAGCTGGGACTCAGTGAGCTGCAGGGGACCTGTGACAGTCAGGACGTAATGATAAATGATAACAGCACTCATGTGTTGCCACGTTCACGCTGTAGCAAACAGGGGAGACATATGAGAGAGAGAGAGAGAGAGAGAGAGAGGTAGGGAAACCACATCCACCGTCATTTGGTGCTAAATTATTTAAACTACATCAGATGTTAGGATTAGGTGTAACAATAAGGGAGTAACAATAGATAAAAGGTTGACAATCTCGTTTTTTAGTGTGTAAGTCAATCTTTCAAGCGGTGACATCACTTTAGAATGCCTGTGTGGAGTTGTATGAGCAGATCGAACTGTTTCAGTCTCTTAGAGAGCAGCTCAAAAGGTTGTCAGTGAACTAATCTAGGCCACACACTGAAGTGTGTTGGCCAGCCATTGGAGAACAGTGGGAGGAGAAACCAGACGGGCCACTCTGCTGCCAGCGTGGAACAGTACGGCTGGAGGCAGGACAAAGAGAGAGACATGACTTCCGTTTTTTTTTGTGTTTGATTGTGTCTTGTGAGCACATAAGTGGAATGTTGAAAGATGTCCTAATCATAATTGAAAATTTCTTTCAAATCAAAATGTATTTGGTGTGCAATGCAGATCTATGACTTATAAAAAGAATCCTACCTATTTCATTCTAAATGAGATGTTACATGCCAGTAAAAATTCATTAAGTGGATTTGTCTTTGTAGAAAGAAATGTACTTGGAAAATTATGAATAGGTGAATCTCCTCTCTATGTGTTATTCATATTAAGTATAAAATGGGGCATCTTGACCCAACTTGAGCACTCATAGTGGTAAAAATTGAAGAGGGCATCCTGCTGTTACAATGGCTCCAGTTCCTCACTGGCAGATCGAAGATTGAGGAAGGTCACAACAGTTCAAAAACAAAGTGGGTTCTTCAGACAGACTACAAGTAAAGCAAAGTTCAGTCATATATACTGGAGCTATCTTTATCACTGCTGCATTTGATGGAACGGATAACCCTGTGTTTAGGAGCTTTACATCAGAGGACTGCATCAGGGTTGGAATCCTGTTGGTTCCATAGAAACTTCAGTAACTTTTTTTTTTAGCAATAATGGTTAGAAATCTGGTAACTTAAAAAAACAATCATCTGGCTTAAAAAAAAGAGATGGTGTAAAGTTAAGACCCAATATTCTTATGCTGTTTAAATAGACAAAAAAATAGTTAAAGGTTATAAAAATACATTATTTAAGCAAGCCAATATTTCCTGGAAAATTATCAAAAGAAAGATTAATAAAAAAATTGTTAAGATGTCAGTTTGATGCTCATCTCATTAGATATTAAATCAATTCTGAATACGATAAGAATATGGTCTTTAGGCTTTAGTCTGTAAAGGCAAGACAAGTGTTGTTAAGGAAGTGAAGGACATACAGTCCAGCAAAATGTAACAAATAGGACTAACTGGTGGAGACTTGTGGCAATTCTGCTGGAATTATGTGACCATTACAAAACTATAGCATGCTAACAGGCAATGGCGATTATAGTAACTCAGTTCTATTAAACCTCAACATGTAACCCTCATAACTGAGAATGTGTTTAAAAATTGGGAATCAGCTCAAAGCATGACTTTGTGAAGATTCAGTGAGCTGCATGTGTTGCTGTAGACAAAGTACTTTTGTATTAACAGGCTGACCAGGCTTTCATGTTCTCTTGCCACCTTTTGCAAAAAGATCAGGTGGTTAAATCGGGTCACAACAGGAGAGATACCTTAGGAGTTTTCTGTTGGTGGTTAGTCATCGAGTGCATCCACGTGTTTTATATGACTAACCTAATTAATGCACGGGCATGCATAGATGAAAAAGTAAAAGCTAGAATGGGCGAAATACCTTTTAGGTTAAGGTCAGAGGGAGCAGAGGAATGACCGCTGGCAAATAGCTAAATTAACTGTTTTGAAAGACATTCTGGGAACACTACACATTGTGTATAGTTTATATCGCAGCATGTATAAATCTACCTTAAATACAGCTGTAGGATTCAACGGAAATGGACCTACCTTGAGCTACCATTTAAGAATAAAAGTAGAGCAGATGGATTATTAATAACACTGACATTTACTGCTTATACTTGATTTTAAAAAATCTGTTGTCCTAAATATGTGAACATCTGTTTTTTTTACTTTTTTTTTTATTTGGAGTAGTTGTGTATTTTGAAGTCTGAAGGTTAATGTTTGGTGAGGTAGTTTTAAATTATCTAAAGTCCTTGCATATACTCAAATTAAATTTACCATATGTGTCAGAACCTTAAAAATATCTCGATTGCTAAACTGAATTAAATATAATACAATCATTATAACAAATAAGGTACATGGAATTCCAGAAGACTAGCTAAACAAAATACCTTTTTCGAGAGGGTGGTGTCAAGGAGAATCCATTCTGACTCGACACCAACACATAATACTTTGTGAGTTTTACTCATTAGAGGAACTCCGACCCACAGACTTAGATATCCAGTTAAGGTAGAAGCCAGGATCTAAGTGTAATGAAGGCATAAACCCATTCAAACAAGCCCACACACTGCCGTGTCTCCTTCTACCCTCTGTGCCTCCCTCCCTCAGCCATAGTCAGCGTACCTCCACATTTTTGTATTGAACTGCTTCAATTACCAGCAATAAACAGTATTCAGCTCCAACCATATGTGTGCAATACATCAACGGACAGATTGAAACACTGACTGACTGCACCTCTGGCTGAAATCAATAATATATTTAATGCACAGCAGGGACGAAGCTAACAACAATTTATTGGAAAATCTGAGATGCAACCATTGAGTTATAGATAAAGGTTTGCAGATAATAATAGGGTACATTATTATCTCCGAGTGTGTCGGGGTGGAGTGGTGTTTGCGCGTGTCAGTCTGGGCATGGGGTGGAGGGTCATACCCACCCATAAATGCTGCTGTTGGCTCTCTTACTTGCTGCCCGGGAGCGGCTTGACTTCAACTCTCCACTCATGTTCATGTCTGCAGGAAAAAACAAAAACCAATTAACTTTGTGCTGATGCACTGAACTGCATATTGTGTACAATGTTTACACTCCTCAACGCTCATTTGAGCTGGAGAACAGGTACGCTACTCGCAGTCATCATTTGACATAATAGGGGCTTTTATTCTTTTTCTCCATCTTCAGTTTCACTGGTCAGCTTTCACTTTTGTTTCTCATTGATCAAGGTTAGACCAGAAAGAATGTGCAGTCAAGTTTCAAAAGACAGACGTCATTGTTCTCTCCTGCTCGCACTATTTCGTCGAGCCAGATAAACACATCCTTAATCACAGTGTTTGCCAATAGTTAAGTGTTTGCACTGTGGTTGTATGCCATTGATTCACCAACGCATGGCATAAGAAAGAAAAAGGCAGAAGGGAAGAACAAAAGAGGAGGCCTGACATGGACATATGGGTGGTGAATGGAGTGTGACTGGGCCAGCTGCACATACACTCACATAGTGAGACTGTCAATTGGCTAGAAGCTACAATTAACTTGAAAAGAGCTTTTCCCGCAAAGCAGCAGCGAGAATGCCGATCTGCTGAGTGACCGGACCAGAAGACAAGGAAGAAGCTGAACAATTAGCAGAAAAAAGTTGAAGGGAAAAAAAAGTAATTCCAAAATGTATGTACACTAAATGTAAAAGAAATGTGGAACTGAAAAATAAGTTAAAGAAAACAGAAAAAAATAGCTGGAAAAAATCCATCAATGAAAAAAGACCGTAAAGTAAAAAATAATAACCATGATAATAACAGCAACCATAGCAAATCGATAAAAATCATAACTGTTAGAAAAATAAGAAAACAAAAAAATGCAATGAAATAACACTTTTAAAAAGAAAAAAAAATCAGAAAGGAAAAAATTGTCAAATTGAAATACTTAAAAGTAAGAAGAAATTTGAAACAAGAAAAGTCTAGATCTATTAAAAGAAAAGAAAATTGAACAGAAACAAAAAAGATCACAAACTGAATTCAATGTTTTGAAAACAGGTGAAACTAAAAAAAATCAGACAGAAAATGCAATCCCAAACTGTAAAAAACTTTAAAGTAAAGAAAGTTTTGGAATTAAATTAATTCAAAACTGAATAAAACAACGTGTTGAGATGTTGAATCAATGCAGCAGAATCTGCTCAAGAAACTGGAGAGTCTGAAGTTGAAAGTAACTTTAAGTTGAAACGGTGCGAGCTGGATTCTAACCCATGAGTGGTAAAATTACTGTCAATACAATGTACAATGTAATTTAATTCCATAGCAAAAGAGGGGTTTTTGGCGTTCACGTGTTACAGTACTAGGAGTGTTTGAAAAAAAAAAAAAAAAACTTTCATCCTGCTGGAGCCAGGGATTCTGGGGAATGGAGTTGCCCTTCCCCTGATCTCAGCCTACAAACGGGAGTAAGCAGCCTCTCCCGTCTCATTAATCTGAGATGCTTCACCATCTCCGAGTCACAAACAGGTCAGACAAACCGACTGTCAGTTGTCATGAAAATGTCCCCCAAAACTTAGCATGGATTTGCATGTGTGAATGGAAATTTGATTTGTGTATGTTCCTTTGCCTCCCACAGAAGAGATCATTTTCTGGTAGTTTGCAGTCAAACAGTGCACCAATGAATGTCTTCTCTGCCTCTGTGGGTTGGCCCAATCTGCATTACTTTCCTGAGCCATGCTCTAATGCATGCCCAGTAAACTGTTTTCAATCCCTCAAAATGTACTACGCTACTCACGTCTGAGGTACCATAGTGAAATGTCTGTTTGTGATTACTGTTTGTGAACAAAAGTCCAAGGAATACATTTTTTCTTTAATATAATGTCCAAACAAGCCCTCATCTCTCCGGTGGGTCAATACTGCTCAGACCATGGAGGAGCGGTAGCTTTCATGCATGTTTTGGCGATGCAAAAAAACACCCTGTGCTATGGCGCGTTTGCTGCACAACATTGAGATTGCCTTATTGATTGCATGATGAAGCCATTATACAGGATGAGAGACAAGCTTGCTGCTGAGCACACTTGTTTCTCTCAACAGGAGCAAAAACCTTGGGAGGTAATCAAACAGCCTTTTGGTAAACAGAATTCCACGTACAATAGTGGGCTTCAAACTCCCCCAATTCTTCAGACATGAGAAGAATTATCTCCTGATTTGAATAAATATATATACACATTTCATTATGTTGATATTTCCGGAAAGAGATAACCATAATAACATTTAATCATGATTCATAATTCTCACTTTAAAGCTGCTCAATGGGGACAAGGACAAGAGATCCCATTCAAATATGGCTAAAGAGAATCAGATATAAAAAATCATTAGTTTAATCTGACTTACAAAGTCAGTTTATAGAATAGGAGCAAATGACACATCAAGGTCACATGCAATCAGCCATAATGAGTTTTAAAGCCTGAGCTTCTGCAGTCTGTCACTGTGCTTTGTACCCGGCGCTGTGCCAGACTGCCCCTTCATGCAGAGCCAAAGTGAGAGCTGGCTTAATCACACTACCTGGAAAGAAAATTACAAACCAACACACACCAAAAAAAAAAAACTTTTTTCATTCATAACCTCATAAGAAAGCAGAGGATGGAAAATGCACGAGTTGGATTTCCCTTGAAGAACGCGGCCTCTTAACAATATTTTCCCAATATTGGAACCACATTGCCACAGAAAACGCAGCTTTACTGGAAGCTAAAGTCAGATAGTAACCAATTGGAAATATATTGGTTAAAGGAAAATCGTTACAGTTCTCCTCTCTTTTTTATCATCACAGCCTTTTTTTTCATCACACCACTACCTATTCAGTAAAACCGCACACATACACAGTCCCAAATTTGCTAGACTTGGTGATAATTTTTTTATTTTCCTGTTTCTTTCATTTTCATGCAGTCGGTTGAGTCACATCTTTTAACATTTGAAAGATTGAATCTAATAAATTCAGATCAGATTCTAAATTAAGGTCCCTTAAGCCAGATCTGGGGACGGACACTGATTTCTAAGGCAAAAAACAATACGCTGCCTTGTAATTCCACTCACACCTCATTCGTTAAGCACCTCGCCCCAGGAGGCTGAACAGATTAGCTGGACAATGAATAAAATATAACTGCATCTTTGAAGCTATTACTGGAAAATGTAGCAATCTTTAAGAGTTCTTTTATAGGTAAATCATCCAACACCAAGATCATTTAATACAAATTGTAAAATGTATAAACTTCAATTTTACTTCAGTGTGATTGTGTCATTTATAAATTTAGCTTACCTAAATTTTAGTTTAAAATTCCAAATAATAACATCATTGAGTCACAGATTTCATGTTGGTGTTGCTTACAGATGAGGAGAGACCATGAATGTCCTCATTTGCCACAAGGTTGTTTTTTTTTAATACATGAACATGTATTAAACCACCCTAACTCATTTTAAGGTGGTTTCCCACTAGCTGACATAAGCTGCACTCTTCATCTACCCACAAGGCTACTGACATCAGTTCAGGTTTAAACACATGTGGGAACAATAGAGCTCTGACAAATGCTCTATAATCAAAAAGTACTATTCAATAGTAATAGAAAGATGAACAAAAAAAATCAGAGAGGTTGCAAAAGATGCTGCCAGTTACAGTGAGCATGAAGCAAAATGAGAGCTGCTAAATTACTGAGAGGCACTTTCAGTAGTGGGTTGACCTGAGCTATACCCATACAGAATACCTCACAAAAAAAAAAAATCCCAGATAGTGCGCTAAGGATGAGTCTCATTTTCACTGTGAAGCCCATCAACCTACACTGAACTTGCCTACAGCCTTTGATCTAAGCAGACTGTGTTTGGGGCTCTGGTATGGAAGTTGTCAGCTGATGCAGCTCCTCTGCCTGATGATAAAAGCTGCCATTCAATTTACAAGTGAGAAACAAATAACACAAAATACATAAATAATCTATCACCAGGCTGCAAGCATAAAAATATCAAGCTTATAGACAGATCATGCAGAGAAACATTCACAGGTCAGGTTATGTTGTTGCTCATTTGTAGAACAAGTTGAGGTTTTAGCAAATACAACACAGTTGTCATGAGAGCAGAAATGTGTCTTAAAGACCCACATGCCTCTAAATGTCATTAAATAGAGCTTCCCATATATTTCCAGTGTCCTTCCCAAAGACCCGTGTGAGTGGGTGAATGGGTAGATGTGGACAATGAGAAAAAAAACTGAAAACTGCACACATTAAAAAAAGATCCTGAGTTTCAGGGCATGAATAACTGCAGGAAATGGGAGGTTCAAAGAAACACTGTCTCACATAAATACAGTGCAACATGCAAACAGTCCCTAACACAAACATTCACACACATGCAGTGATTTGCTGAAGTATACTCACATCTTGGGCTGAACAGGGTCATATCAGTGATGCACAGCCAGCAGGAGACTCCGCAGAGATGCTATCGGCAGAAGATGTCTTTGATCCTCTCTTAAAACTCTTCTTATGTCCTCTCTCTGGGTGTGTGTGTGTGTGTGTGTGTAGGTGATGAGGTTGCTGTTTGGCTGACTGCTGTGATACTACTGAGTCAGTGACAAACCAGCTAGAGAAGCACCCATGGGTTGTACCAAATATTGTCTTGTGGAAGGGGTGGACAGGAGTGCACTGGGCTGTTCCACTCGCAGAAAAACTGGCAGGATGACTGGATGAGTATGCAGCTGGTTTCCCCTCAGCAACAGGAGCCTGGCTGGAGCTCAGCGCTTACAAATTCCAGCCAGGCGAAGAGGAAACTGCTGTAGCAGGCTTGTGCTTGTGCGGGAGTGTGTCTGTGTGTGTGTGCAAGTAATACACATGTCAAAGACTAGAAGCCAGAAAATTGAGCAGTGCACTTGCTTCACCTCACATTTCATTAAATCTGCACGAACCGCAGTCGTCCATATTCGCAACTATGTCTTAATGATTGTTTAAAAGAGGTGCATTTGGGGAATAATATACGCAGAGGACTTGGAATCAACATGCTGTATAAAGTACAAAGTGG